AGAGAGAGAGAGAGAGAGAGAGAGAGAGAGAGAGAGAGAGAGAATAGTGAAGTCGACTGTCTGCTTTCTGCTACTGCCTTCCCTTATATTCCCCTTGCCTTCTCCTTCTTCAATGGCATCTCCTCCTAGCGTGTCTGTCGCCGCTGAGTCTCGATATAAATAAACAACAACACAAAGAAAGAGTGTGCCGCAGAGACAGACAGCGACTTGGGCGACACTCCAACAGCCAGCACCAGTTTGGACCAGAAAGGTGAAGCAACCTGAATGATCTGTGCCTAAACACACCGCATCTGCCCTCTTCTTCGCCATCCTCGCCATCCTCCTCCTCACCCGAGAACGGTCATCGCCCACAATCGACCGATCATCGCCCGAGCAGCCACCACACTCCCACAGTCTCTCGCTCTCTCTCTCTCTTTCCTCCTAATCAGCCGACCTCTGTTGATCTGCGAGTGATAGCGAAGTGTCGCCGAGACACTGCAGCCGCAGCCGCCTGTCAGTTGGCAGTCGTCGCAATCGTGGTCGTCGGCACATCATAACCACCAGCACCATCACCACCATTAACAGCATCATCACCACCATCACCATTTTACCACCATCATCAGGATCACACATCAGCGGCAATCGACATCTCGCATTGCGAGACAGCTCGCTCTTCCCTAAACCAAATGAAACTGACTCTAACCAGTACCACCGGCTGAGATAAACAGACAACCAACCCTGTAACGTAAGAAGCCTCCCTTCATGTCATAAAAGAAAGAAAGAGGGAGAACTCTGGCGGTGGTGGCGGCGGTGGCACACTGTCCACTGGTAATTATCACCACTACATTATCACCGACTTCATCGTCACGTCTGCGACTGCCACTGAGCTGCCAGAGGGACAAATAAAAACAAAGCCGTCATGCGAGGAGAGGCTTCTTTTTGGATAAACAGCACCAGCAAACAGCAGTCCTGACAGTGCCCAACCAGTTCAGCAATCAAAGAATCGAGTCCGATGGCCAACAGCCACCTCAACCAGCACCATCAGAATCACCATCAGCAGCAACAACAGAACCATCAACAGAATCAGCAGCACCCGAACCACCCGAATCAGCCCCANTGCCAGAGGGACAAATAAAAACAAAGCCGTCATGCGAGGAGAGGCTTCTTTTTGGATAAACAGCACCAGCAAACAGCAGTCCTGACAGTGCCCAACCAGTTCAGCAATCAAAGAATCGAGTCCGATGGCCAACAGCCACCTCAACCAGCACCATCAGAATCACCATCAGCAGCAACAACAGAACCATCAACAGAATCAGCAGCACCCGAACCACCCGAATCAGCCCCATCTCCTGAGCACCCACCACCACCACCTGGCCAATGTGATCTCTGCCAAGATCGCCGACCACCTCCTCTTCACAGCAGCCACTGCAGCAGGACACCATCAACAGCAGCACCAGCACCAGAATCATCATCAGCAATCAATCGGAATCGGTGCAATGAACAGCAACAGCAACAGCATCAGTGGCGGCGATCAGCAGAACAGCGGCAGCGGAAGCGGCAGCAACAACAAACGAGGTCGAGGTCGTCCGAAGAAGGACAACGAAAAGGACAGTCTGATGAGCCGAGTGCTCCTCAGCAGTGCCTCCTCCTCCTCCACCAGTGGCCCGGCGCTGGTGCCCACCGCCGCCCGTTCCTATCCCTGCGACTGGCCTCAGTGCGGTAAGTGACCGCCTAATCAAAACCATCATCACTTCATTACCCCCAACTAACTCCCCTTCCCTTCCCTAGGCATGTGGTTCAGCCAGTCCTCGAACCTGAACAAGCACTACCTGACGCACACCAATGAGAAGCCGTTCAAGTGTCTGTGGCCGAACTGCAACAAGTGCTTCAAGCAGAGCAGCAATCTCAACAAGCACCGACTGGTGCACACCGGTGAGAAGCCATTCGCCTGTGACTACCCACAGTGCAACAAGCGGTATGCGGTGATGATTTCATAGGAAAAAAACTTCATCTAATCTCCCTCCCTCCTCCCCCGTAGATT